CCCCTCAGGAGCGACCAGCGGCCTGTCCACGCAGCTGCCTCGACAGCAATTCCTTATCCAGAAGGAATGCCCGGCAGCCAGCCGTGACTACCTCGACGGATGCTCCTATGGAACGAGGAGCCTGGCCTGCGGCTCGCCGGATTAGGACGACGTCCTCTGCAACACCAACTACGGTCACAGCCCAGTGTGGTCGACTCACATCTGGTAGTGGGTGTAGAGGTGGAAGGAAGGCCCTTCGAACCCTTTGCTCCACCGTACGCTTGTGCTCAACGATCGTCACCTCACGACGGGATCACTGGAGCGGGTTCTCCGAAGCCCGATGCACGGAAAGCACCACGAAGTGATACCAATATCTGGGTATCTACCTTCTGGTTGCTCCTACGCCGTATAGCTCACACGTACCGTCGAAACCACAACTCCACCGGTCGGTGCACTCTATGTGGTACACCAGACGGGTGATTCGAGTGGGTTCCTCGATCCCTTCGAACGGCAAACCACCACCAGGCGATAACCAGTATGTCGGTATCGATTTCCAGTGGTTCAAACCGTATTAAATTGGAAGAGTCTCAAAGTGATTAACACCGAATCCCTAACGTCGCAGTCGCGGCAACGAATTGCAACGTTCAATCACAATCCTGCGTCTACGATTGCGTCACGCGCGGCGTGCACAGCGATCGCTACAACAGGCAGATTGTCCTTTTATTCGTGAAAATCTCAAGTCGCTATGACGAGATTTTCCATGAATAAATCAATGTCCGCAAACTTGATTCGATTACGAGGAGAGAGATCGTCTCATGCTCCTCGGCGCTTCGTACGAAAATGGAAGAGATCGTTACAAGATCTCCTCCTGATCGCCGACGGCTCACGAATGATCCGTAACGATCTGCAAGCATCGACGGCTGCGGTTGGGTTCCGTCGCGCAGGCGCGGAGTCGCATAGCGACACATCGCGCTGCTGGACCCGGGCGGCTACGTGCCGCATAGCCACGACGCGGCGCTGCCGCGTTTCGGCTGTCGATCTCGATTCGATAAATCGATTTTTCTCTGTCTCTCGGCGCTAACAACACGATTTCTGGAATTTGTTCTCAGAATCAAGAATTCCAGTGAAGCTACCTAGCAAAAACACGTAAATGGCCGCGGTATACTAATCTGACGATGAAAAAATTCTCCGTCAGCAGAACCTTCTAGAATTCCGCGAATTCAAAATAGATACGGGAATCGCGGCCGAGTTTTTACATCTCGGACTCACACGATATTTAAACAACTGTATTTCTTACATACTACTTAATACATAACTGAATGAAATGTGTCTAAAATGTGTCGCGTGAACTGTCTTGACTGATTCTTTTTTACGACTGACTAGCTGACCGAACACGTGCCGATGCTGCCCTTTGTCTCCACTCAGTGTAGAGTGCGTGTACGTGTGGGTGAGAGAGATAAGCGAGGCGAGAGATGTAGAATCGGGGTTCTGTTCGGCATTTGTTTCTCTGAACCTCGACGGTCGATGGCACAGTCAGCTGCTAGTATCACAGACGAGATATATGAATAGACGTTTCACCTTATGGACTTTCGCGGCCGAATCTGACTGTCATACCGACCTGAAAATTCGTAGCTGATTTTAGCGGCCTCTTCTCATGGATGGCGGTTAGCTGAGAAACTAGGCACTGAATTAGTATTGATGGGCAGCCAGCTGAGTGTGTACGTAAATACATGTGAGTTGATTATGGGAAGGATTGGAAAAGACAGTGGAGTATTATCAGACGGCAGACCCGTGCCGAAAGGGAACTGCCCCACCACTCACACACACTAATGCCAACCACCTTGTATATGAGTTCTGGCGTTTCGTATAGCTTCGTAGATTCGAGAAAGGCGGCGAATGTCAGTCTATCCTTCTTGCTCTCAACACAGCTGAAATTCGATCTCGCATATTCTCGAGCCGAGATTCTCGACTGCCTAGGCATTTTTGACTTTCCGACCTGTGTAGGCATATACAATGTATAAGCAATATACCATAATGAAGAAAAAATTACAAAAATTTGTTTTTACGGAAATACACGTTTTAAAACGATAATATTTTATGAACATATTTTAACCCTTTGCACTCGGTTGTCCCCTCTGAGGGGACATGAAAGTTTATTAGTGATTAAGAAGAATGAACTGATTTCACCGCAATTTTTTAAGAAACACATGTTTTCCTGTACTTTCCTATTAAAATGGGAAATATTCTATTAAAATGAGAAATATATCAGCTGTTTTTACGTTGGAAGTGGAAGGATTGTCGAGGATGGTCAGAGGCGTATGGTCGGATTCAAACACGTGGACAATAAACGTAACTATATAAACTATATTATTTAATGTTTACTAAAATTATTTAACATAAAGAACATAAAACGTAAACGTAAAAAACTATAAACGTAAAATCGAAACTTCATTCAAAGTCGAACCATTCCTATTGCTATCTTCGTTATAATCTAAATAAATTAACATTCTTTGTCGGACAATAGAATGAATAATAAGCTACATATTCCAAATGTAGGCCAAAGAAACCGGGACTGCATTATTTGTTCCGACAGGAAAACACCAGGAGAAAGACGTCAAACAACATTTTATTGTGAAACATGTATAAATCAACCTGCTATGTATATTGGGAATTGTTTCAGAATTTACCATACCATAGAAAATTATGAGAAATAAATTTTTATTTTGTATTGTAAATATGTGTTCTTCAATGTCCATAAATACATATAAACCAAATTTCAACACAATGCCTTACTTGGTTCCAAAGTTGTACCATATAATATCACAAATATCGCTGTTACTACAATGAATTCTATCTACACTTACGTGCCTGTTATATATATACGACTCGCCGATTGTTGACAAAAAATCTGCAGTATGTATACGACTCGCCGATTGTTTATTGTTTCTATAGATACATCGAGGCGGCCGGCAATGAATGCGTATAACAGCTGTGCTTAAAAACTCGATTTGTGTAGCCGGCCGCCTAACGGCGGCCACACATTCATTTACTATTTCAATTTTCTTTATTGATATTATCAGAAGTGGGAAAGATTTCAGCCATTATTTCGACAAATTTAATTATTAGATCATTAGCATGATATTGTCGACGGAAGAAGAATTCACCTAAATAGCCTACATAATGTATTTGGCGAGTTCCATACTTCAGAATATTCGAACCTTTGACAACAATGCAGAACTAGATTTAGCTCGACACATTATACATTATTTGTCGTCGGTTGTCATGCCGACTAATACAAACAAGAGAAAAAAGCAACGATCGTGGACTGATGCAATACAGAGCCACAGATATGTACATATAGACAGAATTCATTGTAGTAGTAGCGATATTTTTGAAGAAAAATCTCGGAAACTAAGGCCGAGCGGCGGTTATATGTATAGGAAAAAGTTGCTCAAAATGTTGATTTCTACAACATATTCAAAAATCATCGAAATCGGTGAGACCCGGCCTTTTCTAAATAATTACCTCATTTTCTTTCAATAATTCTCCATTGCAAAAATTCTACAGTAGTAGTATGTATTTAATGTTCCCCTTAGGGTTACATATCTCCTCTCCTTTCCCTTACAATTCCTCCTTACACTATCTTATTCTCTATCTTCACCCCATCCTCCCCTCTCCTTCCCTCCGCTTAACCTACTCTTACCCTAGCCTTACCCTATATGCCTTGCCCGCTCGCTATTCTCGCCTCGCCTCGCCTCACCACGCATACGCTCGCTTCGCCTCGCCTCACCACGCATACGCTCGCTTCGCATCTCTTTGCCTCGTTTCGCCTTCTAGCAAAAATTCTACAGTATTCTTACATTTTTTTTATATTTTAAAATTTTCCCATGTTATTAGAAAGTAGATATACAACGAAAGTTATACAATTTATAGTTCCTAGCATGTATAACATGTATATGTATATAATGCATGGTCGCTTCGTATGGAAAGTCAATGAATCTTCAAAAAGCGCCCAGGACCGATTTCGAGAAATGTAAGGTCTGTCAGTCACGATGGCTTTTGTCGTTTACTGACGATTCGAACGGTTGGCGATGCCAGGCTTGCTTTCGAGAAATGTAAGCGACGTCAGCGATGCAAGAGCGAGAAGGAAAGCGAGTATCAGCCTGTTCTTCTCGGCTCTTCCGAAACTCAACGAGCTCACGTACACGCAATTGGGCATAGTGTGCGAAAGCGAGGAATGAGGAGTTTCCGGGGCCCCGATGCACAGTCTGATTAAACTGATTTCGAGTCGCAAATACGTTTCTGCCGAGTTATTTTTTTTAATAAATGATGTATTACAATTTAAAATAAAAAATAGAGAATTTGCGGTGTACGTATCAATGAAATACATCCTTATGAATTTTAATAATCTTGAAATTTTTAAATACTCTTAATCGATTGATTTCTCCAATTAAATTAATCGATTAATGTCCAATGATGGACCCTACAGCTTTAATTCCGTTAAAAAATAATAAAATTTATGTAATTTTATTTTCTGTCTCACTTCCTCTTGTGTTAATTTCTGAATCTGTTGATAACGTAGCGAGTGACACGAAAATGGTAATGGGGTCCCGGGACCCCAGAAACTCCGGCCGAAAAATTACATTACGTGAGACGTCTATTCATATATCTCGTCTGTGCTAGTATCCTTACATTCTTCGACGTGAACGTAAATCGATACGAAAATTTCATTTATCCTACGATTCCGTTTTACATTTTTAAATTGAAGTGTATTTGAAAAATTAAGTTCATTTCTATTCGTAAGTAACTCGGAACAATCGTGGTACACGTACACATAGACAGTCACGAATAACATAATCACGGTGTGTTTATTTAATTGCATAGTGGTTAGTGCCTGAAAGTATTATTTGTGGGCACTTGCGGACACTGGACAATCGTGGGGCGTGTATAATCGTGTGTGGGTGATTTTTGTTCACAAAATCTCGTCAGACGAGTTTTGATATGCCCTTCCGGATTTTCATAAGACAGGTTGAATGTTATTCAACGTAAGGTGTTCGCATTTCCATAAGTGGACAAAAATCTAAGGCTGTCGATAATGTCGGTAAGTAGAATTTTTCATGCTGCGTGAGAACCACTAGCACTGGTCTGCCGCAACCTTCCGCGTGAACGTTGCTGTTCGCGGGTTGCCATTCTACAAGCGGAACTTCAAACGTTAATAACTTTGTAATGAAGCCTCTATCAAATAATTGGCATTCTTGATTTTTGCGTTATTTTTTCCTTTAGAATCGCCCATGTAAATTTTTCCCAGAAGTGGCCGAACACCCTGTATATGCGATTATTGTAAAACTGTATAAACTATGATTGTATTGCTATATTTTAGACTTGTATGTTATTAAAACTTTTCTAGAAACCCTTTAATGTAGTTTCAGAACTTATTTCCCACAAAAGTAATGTTGCCTCATATTAGCATCCCATTGTCTAGATGTTCGATTTTGAAAATTCTTAATTTTAATTTTAATTTTAATTTTGAAAATTCTTAAAATTTCTTAATTTTGACTATTTTCAGTCTGTAGGTTAAAAAATAAAAAGGTTACCTCACGTTCCTACTACTTCTTCTACTGTTTTGACTTTAAATTTTGTATGTTTGTTATATTATATATCTTATTCTATTATAGTGTAATATTACAAATAATTATAGTACACATAAATTTCGTTAATGTACCATTTGTTTTATAAACTTATTGCACTAAAAGTAAGTGTACGAATACTTTGTTATCCGCTGTGTCTTAGTTTTCTGATACCCAAGTATAGATTCATCGCGTTCTTGAAAGATTTTATATGTACAGCTTTTATCCCTCAAAGCCGTCACAAATACTTATTTTACACTCTGTACACGCATTTTATTCTCAAAAGAAGCTTCCCCAGATCGTATCCAAGCTTGAGTTCGGTCTATCAGAACGAGAATGCACGTTTAACCTCAATCCCGAAATGTTCAGCTCGGATCATCTCGCGTCTAGCCTCGATCGAACCAAAAAGAACATGTTATCTTGCTGCGAAACCGCAAAGAATCTCCATGTAAAGGAAAGGTCGGTACGTGTTCGCGCAAAAATTTTGCTCTCGCGTGGAAATTGAACGACCAACTACGTTGGACACATTATCCAGACAAGGAGGATGCGGAAAGAAACGCAACGAGCACCGAAATGCTTTTGATCCATCGCACACAACTGGTCGCCGTTACCGCATATTTCCGTCGATTTATGCGGCATTTGCATAGCTGAGATTGCATTTTACTTTTAAATCCTTCCCGCGCAACTGGCCGCCATTCTCTCCTACCGCGGGATCCCCTCGTCATTTCGTAAGTTATGGCGGCGAACGATATTCAATTTTTACGAATGGAAGCCTCACTTTCTATCTACTACGCGGTCTTTTCATCTCTTAAACCGGTTGTGTGCACCCGACGATAATATCTTTTAAACTGGAATACCTCTCCCAGATGATTTCTTGCAATATTCGAAGGTATCCCCTTTTGAAGAAAATTCATTAAATCGGATTATAAAATGTGAAACAGGCTTACCGGATCCTATTAAACATGTTCACTGCCAGATCAAAACCGTATAATATTTTGCAAATCTAAAACTTTGCTTGTAGATGTACAGTACATAACCCAAAATTTGTTTCAGTACTTATTTTTGTAACCTTGCTAAAATTTATAAATCGTATACAAATTTTTTCCCTTAACCAGCATTGAAATAAACCAAACGATGGGGAGCCGTGTTGATAGACTTCTTCTAACAAGCATAGACAATCGTTAATGAAATGGAAAAGAACTTGTCGATGGGTACAATCCTGTGATTGTTCTGTACGTAAACGAGAAGGAGAGAACTTTAAACAGGAAACAAGAGAAATAAAATTGTTGCGGTTTGCAGTATAGTATGGGCGATGTGACTCATCAGTAAGGTAACTTTAGCAGGTCTAGCTTATTTTTTATAACATACGTTTATTAAAGCCTTCTGAAATATATACAAACAGAAACAGCAATATAACAAAGAATCCTTAAACGTATAGAAATAGGAAAAACAAATGACTTAGAGAAAATAAATTCTTACAGACTGAAGACTATTTGAGTACGCCTCGTCTTCAGTGTGAATTACGTGTATTATACTCAATGCAGATTAATAAACTTAACTGAAATAAGCAAAAGGAATCTAATCTATTGTGCATCAAATTAGTATAGAAAATGCAAAAGAATAAAGTGTACTAGAATAGGCAACGAGAAAGGAAAAAGGGGGGGAGAAAATTATAGGGGGATGGTAAGCGAGAAAAATGATATTTAGCAATAGGTTAATGAATAGGAGGTAAAGAACAAAAAAAAGGAAGAGATAGTGATCACTATGCTATCAAGAGTATTATACAGGGTGTTACTCTACCTATAGTCAATATTTTTGGGGGTGATTCTACAGGCGAATATAAGTCGAAAATCAAGAGTGATGAAATTGCGGTAAATGCTTTGTTTATTAATTATCGATGGTTAAAGATTGGCGTCTGGAGCGCCTGAATGACGGCAACTTAAAATAGGGCCGGTCAGTATACCAATATCGATCGGCGGCAACGTCGAAGACCCCAACGAAAATCAGCTGATGGAACAGCCCGGCCGCCGATCGATATTGGTGTACTGACCGGCCCTATTGTCACCGCAGTTCGAATTTTAATTATTTCTCTATTAACCCTTTGCATTCGAGGAATGTTTCGGTACGCACAAATCCAGTCTGCTTTTCCTGTACAGTTTTTAATACCAAACGGTTACAAATGGTTCTTACCGTATTTACCGCTGTCCGTCAAGTTGCCGTCATTCAGGCGCTCCAGACGCCAATCTTTAACCATCGATAATTAATAAACAAAGCATTTACCGCAATTTCATCACTCTTGATTTTCGACTTATATTCGCCTGTAGAATCACCCCCCAAAATATTGACTATAGGTAGAGTAACACCCTGTATATGTTTCGTCTTTGGTACAAAATTTAGCTCATTAAGGTTTATTAAATTTTTTTGTCAATATTGTATGCTTAGATAGCTATATGTATTTTTATTCTTATACTTGTTTATTAAATCTGTATATATTCCTGATAAGTGATACTGTTCGTTAAAGTTTAAAAGCATAATAAATATATCTATACACGCACACATGCAAATACATAAACATATTTAAATATGTAGATAATATACGAATCGATACATGCATTCACACAATTGTATAACTATGAGCAATGTATAACTATGTCGGGCCACAGTTTTTTCCTAATACCTGGGACGCGCGGTCCACCCTCTCGAGGTTTCTCTTCAATTCTGAACGGAAAAGGTTCTGATTGGCTGCGTCTGGTTTCTTGCAGTAACATATAAGTCACGACGCTTTACATACAAAATATATACAAATACAAAACCTTGTACGAGCAACACCACGGCACATCGCACGAGCAAACAACGAACGAGAGAAAGGGACGACCATACAACAATCAACAACGGTACACAAGTCCACGGATTTACAGTCCACAACACATTTAACCACTTGCATATCAGCAGACGTGCGAGAAGAGCTCTTGCAGCTGTGCAACACATTGAGTCCGAGTGCACAACAAGTGTGATGTGTTTTTATTAAAGTGTGTTACTACGTATAATTTAATTTAATTTAACCGCCAGCATTTGTTTACATTCTTTCGATGATTATCCTTTAAATCTATGGATGGGAGTATATGTATATGTACATGAATCTAAGATTATCGTTGTTTGCATTTATGTTTTTCTGTTAATATGATAGATCAAAAGGACATTATTTTCGTATTGAATGGAGACCTCTTCGTCCCTGTAAATAAACGATTCTAGTGAAGTGTAATCTGGATTGTACTATTGGATTGTAGTATTGTGGATTGGGAGAGTATGAGTGAGATATTCGCAAGTTTAATGTGACTCTGTTTATTTTTGGCCAGTCGTCCTTAATTAATTTTAAAATAAATAAATCTATTCGGACTATTTTTGCCTCCTGATAGAGTTTGTAGTTGCTGATATATTTGGTACAATCAGATCTAGCTGATCTATATTTTCCTAAGCCAGCTCTTAAGTATTTCCTTTCAAATAATCTAATTTTGTCCATGATACTGGAGCTAATGTTATATCATATTTGACAACCATATGTTAAAATAGATCTGATTAGTAGCTTGTAGCGGAGGATTTTTACTTGTGTGGGATCGGGAAGGTAATGACTCCGCCCTGTTCCGTTCCGCACAATTGTATAGTTGCTGTCGTACAACGACGTGACTCGTGGTGCGGGTTACGCTCGACTCTCTGGTACGATCATCGCCACCGTACCAAGAGGCCTTCAAAAACAAAAGACGGTCAGAGACGACGACAACGGCTTTTCGGCTCACGCGGCTCTGGTCGTCTCGTGTGCAACCATCGTCTCGTGTGCAACCATCGTCTCGTGTGCAACCATACATTGTAGCGGCTTCGAACGGCTAAGGCGTATGTGGCGCCTTGGCCGCCACACTACCCCCCTGCCAGTAATTGGCACAATTACGAAAAATTGACCGACTACATTACCACTACCATTTACTCTATTATATAAAATACGTTATCCTAACTAAGATTTACATTACAGTATTTGAACAGAGTTGAAAAAAAAAAGGAATTTACATGGAGTTTAATATATAATACGTAATACCTAAAAATACATGAAAGTACATAAAAGTGATGGAAAAAAATAAATGGTATATGATACTTATTATAATAATGCGCAAGCCTTAAGTACTACCGCGTAATTTGAAATCGCTCGGGAAAACGTACGCGTCTACCTGAACGCGTGACACGTTGCTGTATAACCGGCGCATTGTCAGGTACGTTTGTTTGTGTGACCGGCTGATTTTCTATGCTCACGGGATCCGGTCTGTTTTCTGCTAGCATATAAGCAGGCTTTAGCCTTTCAATTGATATATTTATTTCCTTACCTCTAATGTTTATTGTAAATGTTTTTTCGCCTCGGCGCACTACGGCGTATGGACCTTCATAAGCGGGTTGTAAAATAGTTTTGGCTGAATCTGTTCGGATGAAAACATGTGTTGAACTGCTAAGATCTTTGAAAACGAATGTACGATTAACGGAATGGCGTGATGCATTAGAGGGACTCAATTTAGAAAAATGGTTGCGTAGTCTATTAGTAAAATCGGAAGCATTTTCTGTGCCTTCCGCTGAATGCGAAGACAAGAACTCTCCCGGTAATCTTAATGGCTCGCCATAAACTAATTCCGCTGAGGTAGCGCCGAGGTCTTCTTTCCAGGCGGAACGAATACCGAGTAGAACCGTCGGAAGTATTTCTGTCCACCTGTCGGATCCGTGGCACCTTATAGCCGACTTGAGCTGTCGGTGAAAACGCTCTACCATCCCATTGGCCGCTGGGTGATACGCCGTTGTGCGAAGGCGTGTGGATCCAATTAAATTGTTCAGCGCAAAAAATAATTTGGATTCGAACTGCCTACCCTGATCGGTGGTAATCCGTACGGGAGCACCAAACCGCGCTACCCAACCGTCATAAAAGGTTCGAGCTACGGTTTGGGCCTCCTGATCGACCATGGGGAAGGCTTCCGGCCACCGCGTATATCTGTCTACACAGGTCAGACAATACCTGAAACCTTCGGACACCGGTAAAATTACTATGTCTAAATGAATGTGTTCGAATCGCGCAGAAGGTTTAACAAATGTAGCCAATGGTGCAGTCACATGACGGGAAATTTTTGATCTTTGGCACGGTATACAGCAACGTGTCCACGTGCGAACATCTCTTTTAATCGACGGCCAAACATAACGTTGCGTTATGAGCTTGATCGTCGCGTTAATACCTGGATGTGATAATACATGTAACATATTAAAAACTGCACGTCGGAAAGGAGGGGTGACATAAGGTCTTACATTCTTAGTCGAAATATCGCAAAAAATTTCGGAAGACGTGCCAGGCAACGAGACTTTGCGTAATTGCAGGCTAGATTCGCTATTCAACAACCGCTGCAACTCCTCATCCTGGGCTTGCGATTTTGCCAATTCTTCGAAATTAATCGAGTGGTTAACCGTTTCCACTCTGGACAGTGCATCGGCAACGACGTTGTCTTTACCGGAAATATGTTGAATATCTGTAGAGAATTGCGCAATGTAATCTAGGTATCGGAATTGTCGAGGAGAGCATTTATCTAATTTCTGTTTGAAAGCGAAAGTTATGGGTTTATGGTCTGTAAAAATCGTGAAATGTCTGCCTTCGAGCATATGTTTGAAATGTTTTATTGCTAAATAGATAGAAAGTAGTTCCCGGTCGTAAGCTGAATACTTCTTTTCGGCAGATCCTAATTTCTTAGAAAAGAATGCTAATGGTTGTCGTTCGTTGCCGACGCACTGATGTAAAACAGCTCCTACGGTGTAATCAGAAGCATCGCAGGTAACCGACAATGGAGCGTTGACCGCAGGATGAGAAAGCAGGGTTGCGTTTGCTAAACTATTTTTGGTATTTTCGAAAGCCTGACGCGCTTCCGAAGTCCAGGCTATCGAGGTCTTGCCCTTTAAATTGCCGGCTAGAAGGTCGTTCAAGGGTGCTTGAAAGCGAGCGGCATCTGGGATAAAACGGCGGTAAAAATTAAGCATTCCCAAGTACTGCCTCAAATCCTTCGCGTTTTTCGGAAGGGGAAATGACTTTATGGCTTGTACCTTGCCGGGCAAAGGTTGAGTGCCGCTTTCATTTACCCGATAGCCTAGAAATTTAACTTCTTCCTGTCCGAACGTGCATTTATTCGGATTAACAACAATGCCATAATCTTTTAATCGTTTAAATAATAATTCTAAATGGCGCAGGTGATCGGCTTGGGATTCTGAGGCGACCAAAATGTCGTCTATATACGCGTAACAAAAATCGAAACCGCGTAAAATTTCGTCGATAAAGCGCTGAAATGTTTGCGCGGCATTTCGTAACCCGAACGACATGTACGGGAATTCAAAAAGCCCGAACGGCGTTGTAATGGCCGTTTTTCCGACGTCTTCCGACGCAACCGGAATCTGATTATAAGCTCGGACGAGATCTATTGTGGAAAATACCTTTTTGCCACTCAGTTGTTGCGCAAAATCCTCAATGTGACGCACGGGGTATCGGTCGGGAATTGTCCGTGCGTTTAACGCTCTATAGTCACCGCAAGGCCTCCAAGCTTCTTCGCCCTTCTTCGGAACCATATGAAGGGGTGCTGACCACGCGCTCTTCGAAGGACAAGCGATGCCCATCTTCACCATCGCGTCGAACTCCTTCTGGGCAGCCCTGAGCCGGTCCGGTGCAAGCCGCCGCGGCTTGCTGGAAACGGGTGGTCCAGGGGTTGTCTCGATGTAATGCACCGTTTGGTGCGTAGTCCTCATCGGGGTGCCGCTAGGCCGTGTAAGTTCCGGCATCTGCATCAGGAGCTGGTGGTACACGGTAGTCCCTGCTACTGTCTTCACCGACGGCGTTTCATCCTCGGCTCGTGTTCCGCGGACCGTTAACGACGTGGTCCGATCGACGAGGCGACGATTGCGGATGTCCACCATAAGATCGAAGTGATCGAGAAAGTCTACCCCGATTATGGGTTTTGTAACATCCGCAACCACGAATCGCCACACGAAATCCCGTCGTAGGCCGAGGTGCAGGTTTAACGACACTGTCCCGTAGGTGTTAATTACACTCCCATTCGCCGCCGCCAGCTGGTACTCCGATCTTTCTCGCAATCCGCCTAGCAGGCGGCGCGGAAAAACGCACAAATCGGCCCCGGTATCCACTAAAAATTCCGTCTTCGAGCTGTTGTCTAAGATGAAGAGGCGGCGTGATGCTGGATTTGTGTCGCTGGCCGCCATCAACGACTCCCCTAGGTCGTTTCCCTGATCCGTGGCGTTCCAATTGCACGGTGCAACGCACCTCTGCGCGGCCGGACCGAACCGCCAATGGTACCAGCATTTCCCTTGATGGTCCATTTGTCCTCCCGCGGGCCGCTCTCGCGATCGCGATAGAGATCGTCTGCGGTAGCGCGAGTTTGGATGATTTCGGTGGGTCCACCTGCGACGGGAAGATTGCCCCTGGTCCACCAAGGATTCACGGATGGCAGAAATTTCCTGCCTCAAGGAAAGAGCCAATTGTGACATCTTAATGTTTAACATGGCCTCGATGCTCGGGCCCGGCGGGGGTATTTGGCAGGATGCAGATACGCCCGTAATCGCGGCCTCCGTGACGTGTACCCGCGGTGTCATCGTATCCGCAACAGCGTCTGCCAACTCTGCCACCTTATCCAGCGGGGTGTCCCGCTGCGTGGCTAAAATCACCTGCATATTAGCAGGTAGTCGGCCCATCCAAAGCGTCCGCAATACACCGTCCGAAAAAGCCGTACCGGCCAATCCGCGCAGGTGACGAAGAAATTGGGACGGTTTTCTGTCCCCGATTTCCTCGTGTTCCAATAACCGCCGCGTTTTCTGTTCCTGCGACGCACTAAGCCGGCGAATGAACTCATTTTTTAGCGTCGTGTACGGATCCGCGGCCGGGGGATTCATGATAATGTCTCTTACTTCCGCGGCGTGTCGCGCACTTAACGCGCCGAGAATGTACCCGAATTTCGTGGTCTCCGACGTTACATTGGATACCTCAAAACTTCTCTCTACCATTGAAAACCACATCTCCGGGTCTCCCGGACAAAACTCGGGTATCCGTACAGCGACGCGATCAACTGCCAACGGCACACCCGCGGATGTCCCTGCGTTAACGTTAGGGTCAGTCATTTTACCAGTCTTGGTCACAAAAAAAAAATAGTTTCACCGCACACACACACCGCGCTTACTATTTGTCAGACCGTGTCCTTTTCTTATGTCCTTAACACTATACACTTATTTCTCTACTCTAACTAATATTGTCCGTATACGAAAAATGTCCAAATTTTCTTAAAAAAACTTTACTTGCGCGGCGAGATCACGTCGGGGTCACCAATGTGGGATCGGGAAGGTAATGACTCCGCCCTGTTCCGTTCCGCACAATTGTATAGTTGCTGTCGTACAACGACGTGACTCGTGGTGCGGGTTACGCTCGACTCTCTGGTACGATCATCGCCACCGTACCAAGAGGCCTTCAAAAACAAAAGACGGTCAGAGACGACGACAACGGCTTTTCGGCTCACGCGGCTCTGGTCGTCTCGTGTGCAACCATCGTCTCGTGTGCAACCATCGTCTCGTGTGCAACCATACATTGTAGCGGCTTCGAACGGCTAAGGCGTATGTGGCGCCTTGGCCGCCACACTTGTTTGTTTAGATTTTTAGAGTAAAATAATTTTCTATGGATAATAAAGGCTTTCCTGTAATTGTATGATTATGTCTTCCGTATAATTTAATTTAAAGTTTTGAGTGTTTATCTACATCTGAATTTGCGTCTGAGTTATTTGATATAGATACAGGGTATTCGGCCACCCCTGGAAAAAATTTTAATGGGAGATTCTACAGGCCAAAATAAGACGAAAATCAAGAATATCAATTTCATGACTGAGGCTTCATTAAAAAGTTATTAAAAAATTACAAATCGTTCTGGAAAAATTATTTTTGATTACGGGGGTCAATTACAATCATTTTTGGTCATTAGACATGCCCTCGAAATCTTACCCACTTTCGAGAAAAAAATTCAAGAAGGTGTGAAATTTTTCGACAAAGTTAAAAAATTTCAAATTGTTTTAGAAAAATTATTTTCGGTTACGGGAGTCAATTATAATAATTTTTGGTGAATACATATACCCCAAAATCCGGCACATTTTCGAAAAAAAATTCAGTACAGGCGGAACTTTAAACGTTAATAACTTTTTAATGAAGCCTCCATCAACAAATTGATATTCTCGATTTTCGTCTTTGGTCTCTAGAATCTCCCATTAAAATTTTTCCCAGGGATGGCCTAACACCCTGTATAAGATTGGGGTTTTTACGCTTGAATAACGTAGCTCTACATCTCATTAGTCATTTGTTCATACAATTATCAATAACTGTGTAAACTGTCCGAAATTCTAGAACTAGTTAAATTTAATGCTCCGGTGAGAAATACTCGAAATCTATAATTCATCATTTAGATGTCATTATTATAATAGGGCCGCTTTTATGACTTACCACTCAAGCCAAGACATCTCCGCTAAAAATCAGTAAATGTCTAAGCGTTATATCTTGAAAACTAATAAAAATCGGGTGAATAAATTGCGGGTTAATGAATTCGTCTTGAAAAACACTATCTCATGATCAAAAAAAAAATATATAGTTCCATTTAAAAAACGAAACTTCGCCATCGTATCTTTGAAATTAATAATATAAACAAAATTTTCGTTTACGCCAAAATAAAGATATTATTTTATCCTGCAATTTTTATATAAACAATTTGTTCGTATCATCAATAGTTATTGAAATATCGCGACTGTCACACTTTAGCGTAGACACCCTTGTAGATGTCTAAAAGGGTATTTTAGGTGATACAAAAGAAAGGAGGATCTACTAAATATTAAATTTCGTTTGCTTTTGTGTATTAGCATTATTATTATGTTACTTTCTCAAATATTTGTTCATTATTTATTGAAAATATATAGAGTGAACCTATTCATTTAATACAGAAATATCAGTTATTTATAACACAAAATTTGTTATTAAACAAAAATTACACATATTCAGAATAAAATTCTGTTTATATTTGTCGTTCGCAATTATTGAATACACCATATTATTAATAATTCATTTATTTTTACAGTAAATTACTTGGAAAAATTCATGCATCGTCTTCGCAAGTATATTAATTAATATAGAATGTTTTAGTATAATAAGTCAAGTAGTTTTCTTATGAAATATCAGCATGTCTCAAATATTGCCCATTCTGAAACCGAGACGTGAGGAAACCCCTTTAGTAGGCCAGTGTCGGACTAATTGGCTTTATTGCCGGTGTCATCAGCAACCTCTAGCTCTTTGATACGCATTTTTCAAAGGCGTGCAATTTAAAACACGACGATGGTAAAACCCATCCTCCGGTAAATATCGGAAGAATCCCTTTGCGATCAGTGAAGAGACAGAATTTTGTGCGGATTGAAAGGTACGGGCAGAAGGGGTGAACATTCTTCTGGAAGAATCTTGCATTACTTTGAGAAATTCGATGGTTTGCTCGACATCAAAGAAGCGGAAGATTAATAGTTCGGCACAGCCGTTCCCCAATGCCGGTCCTATTCCGATTCAGTTTTATGCACAGACCGCCTGGAATTTTAGGATGAAGTCCATATTACAGGTCTTTCTAAGCTGAGCTTAAAATCAGAATCCTGTTTATGGAAAACTGAACGGATCTCGGTGTCTCGGAGCTATTTAAAAATATTTACAATAAAATTTGTAGATATTGAAGATTAAATTCATAATTATTTATTTGAAAACAATTTATTTCATTAGTAGAAATAAATAAGTTGGTCAAAATAATAAGTTCGATTCATTTTTGGATAGTTTATTGTCATGATTAGCAATATTGTCCTTTTTTTTACAGAATTACGTAACAGTACGTAAAAGATAAAAACGTAAATAGAAGTTTTGTAATATTTAATAAACAAAAATTTATTAGCCCTTTTAAGAAAAATATTATTTGGAATAGTAATTATAATATTAGGTGTACAAATGAATAATCCAATTTTTCAGCCACATTCAATGTTTATTTTAAAAGAAAGTAAATTGAATTGTTCCATCAAAGTATTCGCCGTTACTTTCTATAACTTTAAGCCATATTTTAGACAGCTGATGAATTCCATCTCGGAAAAATTTGACGTTTCTGGACCTGATAAAGTCGTCAAGCCATTTTCGGATCTCATCCACTGATTGGAAGTGCATATCGGATAAGGCGTGTTACATCAACCGGAACAGGTGATAAACAGATGGAGCAATGTCTGGTGAATACGTCGGGTGCTGCAAGACGTCCCAGCCAAGACTCATTATGGTGTATTTGTATGGGAAGTAATATGTGGCCTGGCGTTGTCATGCAACAATTTCACTGGACGTTCTCCTTTGCCAGTATACGGACGTTTTCGTTCCAATGCTTGACTCAAGTCGATTAATTGACGTTGGTAGCAGTCCGCAGTAACTATTCCACCCGGTTCCAACAACTCATAATATATCACGCCCTTGATATCCCACCAAATGCAGAGAAGAACCTTCTTTCCGAAGCGATTGGGTTTTGCAACCGATGTTGATGATCCGCCGGGATTTACCCATGACTTTCTGCGTTTCGGATTGTCATAGAGTATCCACTTCTCATCGCCCGTAACGATTTTCCACAAGAAAGACTTTCGACGCTGCTTATTGAGAAGAGAAAGACACGCTGCCACTCGTTGATTTTTGTTGGTTGCAGTGAGTTCATGCGGAACCCATTTTCCTTCTTTCTGGATCTTTCCCATCTCACGTAGGCGTTTGAAAATCATTTGCTGGGTTACTCCTAACTGTTCTGCAAGTTATTTTTGCGTTTGTGCCGCTTTCTCAGCGAGCAGTTGTTCCAAATCATCGTTGTTTCTCTTCCAAGGGCCTCCAGCGTTGTTTGTCGATTAGACTCAAATCACCGCTTTTATACCGCTTAAACCAAAATGCACACACATCATACGATACAACACCTTCACCGAGAAAGGAACAAATCGATTCGCATGCTCTTGCAGCATTTTTCCCTTGTTGGAATTCGTAAAGAATGCAGTGTCGGATATGCACCTTGTTCCGATACGAGGTTGGTTTCGTATCTCGCGATCGCGTCGTGATATCCCGCACGTAGGCGCCAGCAACGAGATGGCCGAAGTACATCAAACGCTAGAGAAAGACGAAAGGGTGCAACGCTTCCTCGCGGACAAGGAAGTTTCGTGGCATTTCATACCGGCTCTTTCCCCTAATTTCGGTGGACTGTGGGAAGCCGCAGTCAAATCTTTTAAACACCACGTAAAACGGGTGGTCGGGGACGAACTATTCACATTCGAACAGTTCAACACATTCGCGATCGAAGTCGAGGCAATTTTAAACTCCCGTCCATTAACTCCTCTGTCATCTGATCCCAACGATCCCTCCGCGTTAACTCCCGCTCATTTCTTGATTGGCACTTCTTTAACGAGCATACCCGAGACCGATTTCAGCAATATTCCCAGCAATCGGTTGTCAAATTGGCAACACATTCAGAAGGTCAAGCAGGACTTCTGGACCAGATGGCACAAGGAGTATATCCACCAGCTGAACGTGCGAACAAGGTGGATCAAGGGTTCGCACGAGATCAAGGAAGGATCCCTGATCATCTTAAAGGATGATCATCTTCCACCGCTACAATGGCATCTCGGACGAGTCGAGAAGGTGCATCCAGGAGCTGATAACATCATCCGAGCAGTCACCGTCCGGACCAACCAGGGCACCTACCGACGCAACGTGAAGCAGCTGGCGCTGCTCCCAATTACAAACGAGGAACCTCCCCAACGATAACCAGGCCTCTCACCAACAAACCCAATCGAATCTTGAGCGATACGTTCGCTCAACGGGGGGAGCATGTTCCGTCCGAAGGAACACAATACGCGAATATTTCGTTGTCAGGTCGTCGGTAATGAAATTCGCGGTCGAACACGTGTCTATCAGGGTCCGACATTCGATCGGTTTTCGGTCGCGATCTAATACTTGTATGATCGCGGTAGCCATTAATTCGGTGGTCGTTTCGTCGATCGCGAAGTTGGCGGCCCTCGAAACATCGGGCTTTCTGACGGTCGATCGTAGTCAGGATTCGGTTTCCGGATGCTGATCCTGGTGCAGCTTCGTGTTATGCCGCTGATTACACACACGGCATCTTCCGGCCTTGCAATCTTCCGTGTGGTGGTCCGGTTGCAAGCAATTGAGACACAAATGTGTCTTGCGAGCGGCTTCAACGCGACGCGGTACCGTTGCATCTAACATGCCTCGCACACGGGGCATTTTGCGTTGGCGTATCCCGTTCGTTTCGGTCCCAGCGGCGGCGTTGATCGGCGTTGAGCGCGAGGAGACGATGAAGGGGTTGACCGTCGTTGCGAACGAGGAGATGACGGCGGCGTCGACCGTCGCACAGTGGTCCCAAATGCCGAAAAGTTGGCCAAAATATGAAGGAGTTCTTCAATTTAGCTAAAAATTTGTAGGTAGGGGTTATCGAAGTCGCTGATTACGAATCAAAAGTCATAATTTAAAAAAACAAAATGGCGGCTTCGATATAGCTCACATATATGCGAAAGAAATGTCGGAATCACCTGAAATTTGATACATAGTTACTATCGAGGTTGCTGATTACGAATCAAAAGTCATAATTTTAAAAAACAAAATGGCGGCTCCGATATAGTCACACATATGCGAAAGAAATGTCGGAATCACCTGAAATTTGATACATAGTTACTATCGAGGTTGCTGATTACGAATTAAAGGAAAAATGACAAATAAATAATCAATTGCATTTATTAAATGAAATGACTCCAAAACATCTTACGCCAATTACATATATACTGCTATGTTTCAAGGAGAATCATCGGAATCATATTCATTATCAGATATGTCGCTTTCTGTGCTGGATTCTGTTATTAACATTGCCGGTTGAACTAATAAATTTAACGCCTTTTCACAGTGGTCGCAAATCCCGTAAAGTTGGCCAAAAGAGTATCATATTTTATTGTATTTATGAGGGAATGTTACAAAGTAGGTGCGCGCGGGAGCGCGTATGCTGTGTGTGTGCGTGAGGACAGTGGACGATCGTCCTGTTCGTCTGCGACGAGTCAGTCGCTAAGGTGGAGTCAAAGAAAAAGCACGTGTAAAGTCCATCAGATTACCTATTTTATTCTCATTAAATATTGTTCCTCATTTAAGTGGTTAGATTACCGTCTTTTCGTCACCCCTCTCTACCACATCCTACAAATGGGGGCTCGTCCGCCGAGAGGATAGTCGAGAAAACGGGTTAAAAGTGGAAAAGTTCGAGCGGTCGTACTACGAAGTAACCACAAAGGCATAAAGTGATAAAGTGATAAAGTAAGCTTAGTGGCGAATCAGTGGTGTGAGCGAATCGAAAAAAACAGAAAGTAAAAGTGACTTGTGAGTGAAAAAATAGAAGGAAATGGATAAAACGGACGACGGAAATAACGGCAGCGAAGAAACCGTAATGGCCAGCGAGATTGCGACGCAGAAAGAAGAGAAATCAAAAGGCAAAGAAATCGACAAAATGAAAATCAGTGAGCTACGCAAAAGGTTGAGCGAACTGAGACTGGAAGCGACAGGTAAAAAAGCAGATTTAAGAGAAAGATTAAAGAACTACATGAAAGGCAAGGATGACATAGAAGAAGAAACTGAAGAATCTGAGGAAGACTCAGAAAGTGAAGATGAAGAATTTGATAAGACCGGAAGTAAGCAATATAAGGGCAGATCGATGGGAAAAGCGTGCAGCGGACAATCCAGTATTTTTACAATTAAAGATGTTGAGGAGTCCATACCGTATTTTGCAGGCGACGATAAGTTACCTATCAAAAAATGGATCCAAGATTTCGAAGACATGGGTACGTTATTGCAATGGAACGATCTGCAGATGCTGATTTACGCAGAACGCATGTTACGAGGGTCGGCGAAATAATTTATCACGGCAGAGGAAGGTATCCGATCATGGGGAGAATTGCGTAAGCGATTGGAAAAAGAATTTAAAACGGAGACAAACAGTGCTGTGGTACATTCAGAACTGTATCAACGGAAAAGATTGCCTCAAGAAACTGGACGACAATATATATATTCGATGCGCGAAATAGCCAGCGAAGGTAACGTCGAAGAAGGTGCCCTTATCGAGTACATAATTAATGGAATTCAGGACAGAGATTATAACAAGGCTATTCTGTATCAGTCACGTACGATAAAAGAATTGAAAGCTAATCTAGAAATATACGATAAAATGAAAGAAAAGGCTGGAAGGAAGTTGAACTATGGTAAGAAAGAAGAAGTAAAAGAAAAGGAAGAGGCATCCGCTAAAACAAAGAAGCCTCGTTGCAACACGTGTGGATTGCCAGAACACGACGCTAAGAACTGTCCAAATAAAGGTAAGGGGCCAAAATGTTTTAAATGTAACAATTTTGGGCATATAGCGAACAAATGCACGGTAAAAGAAGGAAACAATACCGAACCTGCAAACGTAAATTGCATTGCGAATCCTAAATCGACATACCCAATAAAAATAAACGAGAAAAAATGCCAAGCGTTAATTGACTCTGGGAGCGATATCTCATTGGTACGAGAGGCGAAGCACAGGGATATCGGCAGACCGGCATTAGAAACCACGGCGATGAATATAACCGGCGCAGGCAACGCAACGACGAAGGTCATCGGCGCCTTTGATTCGGACATACTGGTAGATGGAGAGACACATAGTCTCAAATTCTTTGTTATTCCAACATACTCAATTCCGCACGATGTTATTTTGGGGCAGGATTTTCTGAAGAACGTAAATATTCAAATACACAAAGGTGAAATAATCAAGATCCAGAAGATAATAACGACGGCAAAGGATGTACCGGCGAGCAGTGAAAGTCCGGAAAACGAAGAAACGACCATCAACGTAGAAGAGGAGGCGGTCACGGGTAGTGTTGACAAAGCATTTGCAGAATTGCGAGAAATCATGTATATCGAAAAAGGTGAAGTGAATGTGAGGGACGCATACAAGGACAAAATACTCAAGCTAATTAGCGAATATCAGCCAGCGAAAACGGCAAATACGAAGGTAACGACAAAAATTGTATTAAAAGATGATAAGCCTCTTAACTGCAGACCGCGACGGTTAGCGCCAAAGGAAAAAGCGATATTAGATAAACAGGTAAATGAATGGTTAAAAGAGGGAATTATTCGACCGAGTAAGAGCGAATTTGCAAGTCCGGTAGTCATAGTTCCGAAAAAAAATAATTTTTATAGAGTTTACATCGATTATAGAGAATTGAATAAGAAAATCGAGCGTGATCATTTCCCGATGCCGCTCATCGAGGATAGAATAGACGAGTTAAGAAAGGCGCGCGTATTTTCTACAATTGATTTAAAGAATGGATTTTTGCACGTACCGGTAGCGGAAGAAAGTATAAGGTATACTGCGTTCGTAACACATAGCGGACAATTTGAATTTCTAAGGACGCCGTTTGGGTTGTCTATTAGCGCAACTGTGTTTTTAAGATATATAGATGAGATATTTCAGGATTTAATTCGACGTAAAATAATGTTAACTTATGTAGACGATGTAATAATACCGGGAGAAAATGATGAAGATGCGTTTCGGAAGTTGGGTGAGGTTTTAAAAGTAGCAGCCAGAAATGGGCTAACGATTAACTGGGATAAATGTCAATTTTTGCAGTTAAGGATAGAATATTTAGGACACGAAGTCGAAAGCGGAAACGTATATCCAAGTAGCAATAAAATTCGGGCAGTCGAAAAATTTCCAAAACCAAAGAATAAAAAACATATGCAAAGCTTCTTAGGGTTAACGGGATATTTTCGCAAATTCGTTAGAAATTATGCCAAAATCGCAAAGCCACTATCTGATTTAATTAAACAAGATGTGCAATTTATATGGAGAAAAGAACAAGAGCAAGCATTTTTAGCGTTAAAATCTATATTAGCTACAAAGCCAGTGCTACGAATTTATGATCAAAACGCAGAAACAGAGGTCCATACTGACGCCAGCCAGGAAGGGTTCGGCGCAGTTTTGCTACAGAAAATAACAAACGAAAACGCATTTCATCCTGTGTATTATTACAGCAAGAAAACTTCCGAAACAGAACGAAAATGTCATTCTTATGAATTAGAGGTGTTAGCGGCGATAAATGCAGTACGGAAATTTCGCGTGTATCTCTTGGGCGTGCCGTTTAAATTAGTTACTGATTGCGAAGCATTTAAGAAAACACTGTCAAAAAGAGATTTGTCACCTAAAATTGCGCGTTGGGCATTGACCCTTGAAGAATTTGAGTATAGAATAGAACATCGAAAAGGAACGCGACTTAAGCACGTAGATGCGCTCAGTAGATTTCCGGTCTTAGTGATAGAAAATAAATTGCTCACGATGATAAAAAAGAAGCAAACCGAAGAAGAAAGACTACAGATAATTAGACGTATTTTAGAAAGCGAAACGTACGAAGATTATTTAATAGAAAACGATATTTTGATGAGGCGAAGGAACGGTAAAAATGTAATTGTGGTACCTTCTTGTTTACAAACAGAAATAATAAGAAAAACGCACGAAAATGGCCACTTTGGCGTAAGAAAAATGAAAGAGGCGGTTGAGTCAGAATATTATATCCCTACATTAGAAGAAAAATTGAAAAAATTTGTTAGTTGTTGCATTCCGTGTATATTATCCGAGAAAAAATTAGGAAAAAAGGAAGGTAAGTTAACTCCGATACCAGAAGGGGATAGGCCTTTAAGTACGTATCATATAGATCATGTAGGCCCTATGGCGGCGA